CGTGTGTTGAATTTTCTTTCTTCAGATTCATTGAGGGGAAACGAAAAGGGCCAAAGAACGTTGTTCCTGCTCTGATTCTCGACCGTGAGTACTTTACTTTCTGCAAGCTAGCCGTCTTTTCGACAAAATCATCACTACTGCAGCTGGCTACGATGCTTTCATTTACAGAGATAAAAACAGTTGTTTCCAGATCGCACAGGAGTTTTCTTCAAAAATCAGAGTTTGATGAAAAGTATACGAGAGATCGAAGGACTACAACGCGTCGATCGTTTCGACTTCAGCGATCCTAATAATCGTATGAATCCTATGTGGAACAAAGTCAACAATTATGTTAAGGGTTTGTGATCTCTCTGACAAGCTGTTGCTGTGTACTGTGCAGTTTCATTTTCAACGTACGGCACAACGTTTTCGCTCAAATTGTGCAAGTGAATATTGTGACATATATAACAACACTTGTGTAAACGTGTGCCTTCTTCGCGAACACTTTTTCCATATTGTTCTCGAAAGATTCATCCTTTTCAACTCGGTAAGGGAATGGTCGCTAATGGGGGAAGCGCACTGCAGCGTGACGATATTGCAAGACTAGGCTGCGACTATACTGGACATATGCGCTCGGGGCGCGCTGCCCTCCTCTGAGCCACGACAACGCGGAGGAACGGGACACTAGAGTTGTTAAGAGTGAAACGACTCTGGTCGTCTGCATTTTGCTAAGGCTGAGCCTGGGGAAGGAAGTGATTACTATTTTGGCGAAAAGCGCAGTTGAGCGGTCTCAGGCAGCGTTCAGACTTCGCAGCAGCAACGCTGCGGTCGCGCGTTGGACGACTGGCCGATGCAGTCAAAAGTAAAGCATGCACGTCGATCGCGTTGAACTCGCGACCGAAGCGCTGCCGTCGCGAAGTCTGAACGCTGCCTTAGCTGTTACGTCTCCCTCCGGCCAACTAAGATAAGGTCGAGTATAGGGCTGGCGCCTTTGAAGTTCTCTCACAGCAATTACTCGAGACGTGTTTTCCAACATAGGAGAAGTACCTAGTGACAGTCCTCAGCCTGAGCACTCTCAAAAAGAATATTCGAACGTTGAATGCGTGTAGTGGAAGTTCACAAAGGAGTTTCCCAGCGGGTGTAGGCTAATCGAGAAGGCAGGAACACCAGATGAGCACAAAGATTCATTTGTACGAGCTGTGGCTTCCTACTATAAGGTATACTCCTTATCCCTGAGTCGGGGTAGGCGTGGCATTTGGACATGGCATAGGATGGGTTACTCGTGGGATATTTCAACTCGAGACAACTGCCATCTTGTTCTATGGTGGACAGGGACATGATCACAATCGTTTCAAAATAAAAATATCTCAGAACCACACGAATCACACCAGAATCACAGCCACCGAGACGTTCAGTTGAAGTACGCAGCCACGCCTACCGCATCCTAGGGATTTCGAGTGTAGTTCCGATCACTGAAACAGTTTCACACGGCGGTGTAGGGCTTCACTAGTCAACTCGGAAAGGAGCTCGGTCAGGCTACAAGGGAGCTGTCAATAATGTAAGTTCTTTGACTGTTGATTCTAGAACGACACGACGATTTGGAAATAAGTGCAAAAGTATTCCGGAAAATTTTCAAGAAAGGGTAGAAGTCGCACTAGAGATGTACCTAGGTCGTCTGAGGGCTGTATTTGAAGTGATGCTCAGTAGGGTTCGCAACCTTGGAGAGAATGTTTTCCCAGAACTCAACCAATATAACACATGTCTGATTATGCACAAAAGAACAGTTGTTATAGGCGTCCGTATGATTTATGCTGGCTCCACTTCAAAGTCAATCAGCTCCGTTGCCATCGGTATTAGTAAAGTTCCCATCAAGGATGTCAAAGATTCTCGTGAGAGGTGAGCAGTGTGTTCCTGTATTTGTTTCTGCATTCACTTCATTTCCTCTTGAAGACTTAGTTTCTAATGATTAGTTAGGTTTGGCTTTGCCTTTACAGTGACCAGTCGAAGACCAGTATTCTGGCGAGTTTTTCAAGCGTGGGTATACCCATCAACCCTCATTGGCCGGCTGTCAAATTACTTGTGCGAAACAAAGTACTATATTATCCAATGGAACTCCTGCAAGTGGATCATGATCAAAGAGTGCCCGCTTGAGAAGCAGCTGATGGCGAAATGTGTATGTTATTAATGGTTGTTTTCGTGTACATATTGTGATAGTTCGCTACGGGAGTGAGGGTGGAAAGATGGTGCGTTTGTTAACTTCATTAAGTCGACGTACCGAGCAAGTCTGTGAAGTCCTTCAAGTTACCGTAAGCTAACCAGGAAAGTTAAACAGATCAGCCCGGGCATTTGAGATGTAACATGCACCGATTACGCGTCTTAAGACACGGACAGCACAAAGCTTTCTTCGAATTTTGCGGGACGTCTAAACGTGGTTATGTAGTTTTCTCCGTACGTGGTTAATTTACATGCTATCGCAAGGAAGCCTGGAAGCGTCTTCACCTATGAAAGGGGACAATGAAAGAAGACACTTTTTTTCCCTCGACTTTCCAGGCGATATAAGTTACACTTTATTAAATTCTGATTGGACATTTTCACCATCAAATTCAACAACGCATTGCACACGATCACGAAACTCCACCACAGCCTTCTGGACGAACGCCATCGAGAGATTCTGCCGTGAATCGGTCCTGACAATGAGTTAGCGAGGTCGTTGATTTGTCCGCCACTGTAGACCACCCTGTTGAGCTCCGCCCAAACCGGGTAATTGAGGGGGTTTAGGTCAGGTGACACACTTAGGATATTCCGTCTTCTTCAGGTACTCAACGCCCTTCGATTCCAAGTAGGCGAGAGTTTTTCCAACGCCCTTCGATTCCATGTGCTGGCACCCCTGTAGCAGTACGAAGTTTCTAAGAAGATACAGGCGACGACATGAAGTCAGGATATTCTCTGCGAGCTGGTGACTGACTGCTGACTGACTCGGCTGACCTCCGGTTCATACCATCAACCAGCGCCTTGGCGACTGCGGTGAAGATGATATCCCGTACCGTAGCGACGTTGTAGGAGCTGCTCGATGGAGATCTTCCAGACCAAGAGGTGCCGGTCTCCAGGTAGCTGTCCATGGGTGACTCGATACAAGAAGTTTCGCAGCTGTTTGGAGGTGACGTGAATTCCATAGGCCTTCTCCAGTCAGGCTGCGATTGGAGATGACTTCATATTTTGGTGTACATGAAGGTGATGGACGAGAGCCTGCTCCTGCTTAGAGAACATCTTGGGTATCTTCCGCCCTGGTACTCGTATCCACGTCCTCTGTCTGGGCTGTGTGATTTTTTACCAATATGCGACTCGACCGAGGTGACTTTTTTTGCCCCCCCCCCCTGTAGGTGAAGAGATACATTGATACGTGATAGTATAGCGCAGCAGGTAGCGAGGGGGTGTGACAAGAAGAGAAAATTCAGCTTTGCGAGCAGTCATCCGTGGCAGGAGAGACTTAGTATCACTGGTGGCTACTATTACTATAGACATACTAATCCAACCCCGATTTTGGGAAATTGAGTCAAAACATCAGATTTCGCTAGAGTCCCGTCGCTAGAGGTTATTTGAGGTCCCTGAACACGATCATGACACTCGTTCTGCCACCGCTTCGACGGTGGCACCAGTATCATGACCAACAGTGGTGTGTACCACATTGAGAATGGCCGGACTGACCTGTTGACCGTTCCTGTTAAGAATTCCATTTTATGTACCGACCTCACGTGATTGATTGCTACTGGTACAATTGTTGTCACGCCAACGTGAGAGTGCGCTCTACAGGGTTGGCCATAATTATAGCGACAAGACTTGCTGCAGTTAGCGTACATTCTATCGCGCACATAGCGCGCCAGTTTTATGGATTTTTCAATCTCATCATTTTTTCTAACTCCTGTTAAAATTTGGTTAAATTTGGTCCATTCATAGTGAAATGGTGAAGCCTTCTCCTGATCGTTCCGCTATCGTTCGTCTGCACAAAGCCGGCCGCCCACCCGCCACGATCGCTAAGCACCTCGGCATCCACCGCAGCGTCGTGTATCGCACACTCCAACGTTATCGAGACCTTGGTGGACTCCAAGACCGCCGAAGAAGTGGAAGACCTCGTACTGCTCGCACGCCGAAGGTCGTCGAGGCCGTCAGAAAGCGGATAGCAAGAAACGCGACTCGGAGCATCTCGACGATGGCTCGCGACATGGGAATCTCGCGGAAGTCAATGGAAAGGGTCGTCCACGAAGACCTTAAGATGTACCCCTACCGTACTCGGAAGGCTGCTATCCTCAGCGCCTCGAATCAGCAGGCGCGAGTCAAGAAGTGCCGACAGCTTTTGCTTCGGACGCGCAACAAGGGCCACCATTCGATCGTCTTTTCGGATGAGAAGCTCTTCACCGTCGAGCAGCAGTTCAACGCTCAGAACGTCAGAGTGATCGCAAGGAATGCCGAGGAAGCCGACAAGAAGGGAAGAGTCGTTCACCGGGCCGCACACCCTGCCCAAGTCATGGTTTGGGCAGGGGTGTGTGCCTCGGGGAAGACGCCGTTGATATTCGTCGACCCCGGCGTCAAAATCGACAAAGATTACTACCTGAAGACGATTCTGGAAGATGCTCTACTCCCGTGGGCGAATTCCCACTTCAACGGCCGCCCGTGGACATTCCAGCAAGATTCGGCGCCCGCCCACAAGGCCAAGGTCGTCCAAGCGTGGTGCAAGAGCGAACTCCCCGACTTCATCTCGGCAGAAGAATGGCCGGCATCGTCACCGGATTTGAACCCACTGGACTATAACTTGTGGTCCTACCTTGAGAGCAAGGCCTGCGCCACTCCCCACCCCAATTTGGATTCTCTGAAGGCAGCGCTCATCCGAGAATGGGACGAAATCGACGACGCACTCCTGCGTCCGGTCATCGACGCCTTTCCCAAGCGACTCCGCGCTGTCGTCCGTGCCAAAGGTGGCCGAATCGAGAAGTAACTTATGATTGTTAATGTACCAGTTGTTACTTAATAAATGTTATGTTCATGACTCGTTTGCACTTTTGCTTTCTGAGATATAAGGTGAAAACCTTGTCGCTATATTTATGGCCAACCCTGTACTTTGCAGCAGCGTTTTCAGCTTAGTATTTTGGGCGTTGGTATCTTGAGCGTCAGCGTCCACTAGCGTTTTGAGCGTCTGCCATCGTTTCCAGCGACTGGGAATGCATGGTATCAAGCCAGTTTTCCTAGCTCCAGTTTGGAGCGTTTGAAGCGACTAAGAAAGTGTAGATGTCGATTACCGCTGGAAACGCTCGAACGCTGGAAGGCGCTGGCGGGCGCTCAAAACCCTGGTAGACGCTCGAAACGCTGACGCTGAAAACGCTGAAGACGCTTTCGCAAAGTATGAACGCAGTCTAATCTACGATCAACGAAATGATTGGGGCCATTCATAAGATATTGACACTAGTCTTGCAGTTGTTGTTATTGGGGGCAAGACAGTGACATCGAACCTGTTTCTTGTGGGGCCATAAGAGCTAGAAATATGCCGAATAGCGTGTGAAGAGATGGACACTGTGCACTGCGAAACTCTAAGTGGTCCATTTGCGACGAAATGAGCAGGGAGTTCTTGCAATTGAACGGGAACTGTTTGCGCAAGGAAATAGTCTCACACATGCCAGGACACCCTTCGTCCCCCATCCCTCGCACCTTGTTAGGCATCTCCGGGAGAAATCCTTATAGGTTAAGTCGCCATTGTATCTTGGCACCTGCTAACACGCTGGGCTGCAAAACCGTAGAAATGACGCCTGTGACGCTTTCTTAGCTTAGCTTCTTCCTCTCTAGTCTTTGCAGACTTAGCCGGCAGAGCACGCCCTGCCGCTGGGGGAAATTTCGAATTACTACCCCCACCTCAGGTCCAGTCTTCCTTGCCAACTTTTGCAAGCTGCTCCCCACCACTCTTTCCGAGAATTCTAAAAATCTTCCTGGTTTCCAGGTTCTTCCCAAAATTATCTTGTCGAGCGGGGCACGTAAGGGGGAGGGGTATGTAGCACCGACAAAACGGGAGCAACAGCACAGCAACGCAACAGTTTTCTCTCGAAGGCAGAAAAGGCAGGAGCGAACCCTCCTCCCTTTCCAAGGACGGGCTAATATGA